GGGGCGATGGACTACACAGTCTTGCAGTTTAAACTGTAAGACTTTTAGTTTTGCAGTTTAAACTGTCAACTTGTTATACAGTTAGATTTGGAAAGTATGTGGCGCGTACACACTAAGAAGTGTGTGGCACTCATGCACACACTGCTATGTGATTTTAAGTTAAGTACATACAAGGGAGAGTGAACTATGAACACAGTTGGGTTTGCAGTGCATGCTCGCAGGTATTCCATTGCTAAGCAGTTGCACACAAGTGTTTAAGGTGAAAAGAGTTGAACACCGTGCAATGTGAAGACAAAGAAGTTAAAGATGAAGATGATTAATTTCGTTTCCGACTCTCCCTCGGTGATTCACTGGTGCCGCGGGACGTGCAGCGCCGCCGCGACACGCCGCCCGAATGAGCGATGAGTGACGAGGCACATGTTATTGGCGCCATTTGCATGGCCGCTGTCAACTGCTATCTGTCTGCCTCTCCCCCCCTCTCTCTCTCTCTTACTTTTTCTTCCTATTAAACACACATGCACATAGGAAGGTGAACTAAGATGTGTTATGAATGGTTCATAAATAAATATACAATACAAAAATCGACGACAGCCCTTAATCAAGGTTCTCCTAAAGGCTGCTGTACATTGGAAACATTGTGCATAAGGTGGTTTATCCGTGTAAAATGATCTCTATTGCAGGCAAAACTGGCAAAATTATTTAAATGTGAAAATCCAACAATGAGGCATTCAACCCAACCAGTTCTGTCTTACCCCTTTCCTAAATTGAAGCGTGTCCTCATGTTTGATTCCGAGGTGTTGAGGCGATTACCTTCTATTCATCAGAACTCACAGGGGTTTCAACCGCTGCAACACACAGTCGGCTCAAGTAAATTCTTGAAAATATTGTTTGCGTGGTCTGAGTGCGTTCCTCTACAACTCACCCATCAGCGCTCGATGGGATCGACACGTACCGCCTGCAACAAGAAGACAATACATTTTTAGAACAGATACAGCGTAAAAAAAGCATTATGAGCTTGCACTCTCAGGGCTGTTTCAGGTTTAGACATTAACAGCTGGATGTAGTGATCTGTAAAACTACAATTGTTTGATATTGTAAAATTACAAGCACACAGTATCGACTAGGCATTCATCGACGAGAAGAACGATTGAGATGTCACATACAACATATTTTTTCTGTATTAATTACAAAATAAATCGTAAATTTACGACGATATTTTTCAGTGTAGGAGGTTGGAACGGCAACACCTGCACCAGAAGTGGGATTTTGTCCCCATGTGTCATTCTAGTTTGTTTAATTATGTCATCACCAGTCATCGGGATGAAAAGGGGAGGAGAGGAGAAGGTCGAAAGAGGGCAACGATTGGGGACGAGTGTCGATCGAACCAACACGTTTGAACCGAGCCGAGCCGAGCCGAGCCGAGCCCAGCCACAAGTGGAGTATAACGAAGTACCTCGCTCGGTGCCCGGTGCACCCTGAGCTGACGGGACCCGACGGGCCGTTGACGAGAGAGAGCGAGAGAGAGAGAGAGAGGGGGGGAGGAGGAGGGCAGGGAGAGAGAGAGAGAGAGAGAGAGAGAGAGAGAGAGAGGGGGAGATCCACCGTAGCGAGAGTGCGAGAGAGAACAGCGGAGCCCCTTTACTTAGCGGCGCCGCCCGGCCAGCCCCCGGCTCGAGAGGAGGGGGAGGGGGAGGGGGAGGAGGAGCGGCGAACGTGACAAGACGGGCGGTCACTGACGCAGCACCTCCGAAGCGACGGCGGGAGACGCCAAACGTCTCGCGGATCAGAGAGACGGAGAGGGAGGAGAAGAGGGAGATGAAGGGGGAGATGTGGGTAGAGAGAAGAGGGAAAGGGGGTGCGGGGCAGCGGTGCGCTGAAGGGCCACAATGTCAATGCATTGCACTCCATGATGCATATAAAGGGGTGGCGGAGCGTGGCGCAGGGAGCCTGACGGACAGCGATTGGCACATATTCTGCACACAAACGCGCTCCCTCGGCACAATGTCCTCCCCCCCCCCTCCCACTCCTCCCTTGCCTCTGCCCTGCCCAACCCACTAGAAGCTTAGAGGAGGCAACATAACTGTCTAATGAATAGGCCCCTCCAGCGCAAACAAAATGTATCTCTGGCGGGATCACCCGTCGACAAACACACTGTGTAGAACACGAGAGGTGAGCGTACAGGCATAGGCACGCGCATCAACGGTATGCAACAACGCACCCGCCGCCGCCATAAAGGTCGCACGGATGTCATCCGGATGTCGTCGAGACCGGCCGGCCCGTCAACAACAAAACAATAATGTCTTGCCGAATACAGCCGCGCCACGGGTCGGACACGCCAGGACACGCGTGCGGACGCGCGGGGGACACGACATGGGTGGCGCGCGGGGCGCGGCATGCATGCCAAGCGCACCCCCGGACCCTACCCGCCCGCGGCGGCACGCACCGTGAGGCTTATGGCCCCCGCGGCATTTGCGTACGGGGTTAATAACAAATACCCAATGCCAAAAGTCAATCAGAGACGCGTGCGCGGACGTGCGGCGACTCGCCTATGGCGAGCTCCGCTTGGGTGCGCGCCTGCGAGGTAGGCAGGCCTGCCGCGCCTGCGCGCCCCGCGGGATGGCCTGCCCCGCCAGGCTGACTGCGGTGTCCTTTTACCTCGCCTTTTACGTTCCTGAATAGCACATTGAGTGTGGCGACGCTCACATGCTAAATCATAGGCACAAAAACTGCCCCACCCTCAATGTGAACATATTCACGAGTAGCCTGTTCCACTTTTAAAGAAATCACATACACGACATTGTCACTGTAGAGTTCCGGCCCCGTCGCTCTTAGCTGCTGGTAAAACTTGTTTGCTGACGGAAATACTCGTACGGTTGCTCTGCTGTTTATAGTGTGTAGTAGTTTGCCAGTTTAAACTGCTGAACTAAAAGTTTGACGGTTGAAACTGTAGAATAACTCTTTAGCTCGCCAGTTCTAACCGTAGAACTTAAGAGTCCTGCAGTTAGAAGTGACAAACTAAAAAGTTCTACTGTTACAACCGGCGAACCTTAAGTTCTGCAGTTACAACTGCCAAACTTTTTGTTCTACAGTTTTAACTGGCAAACTACTACACACTAAGATTAGCAGAGTGGAGGCATGCAACGCAAGGTAAGCCCGCCTGCAGATCTGTATCCGGCAGAGTGCAACCAGAAAAAAGGACGGCGCAGATCAGACGCCTTGTAGTACCTACCACCTCGACCACCCAGGGGCTCAGCGAACTGAGCGAACTCTTTTGTGAGCAACTAAAATTAAATTGAAGAGCTGACATTAGCCCATAGTAGTTCTGACATGACTTTTCTCTGTCAACTCAAATGTGTACATTGTCTACATTACAGAAAGGTACAGAAGGTACACACAGAGCCGCATGCAGATATAAAAGTATAGCTAAATGGGGCGAGAAAGTTAACTAGCTCCATTCATCTGAAAAAAAGACTGCGCGCTCGCCGGACAACTCTTTCTACTACGAAACGTGGAAATATAAAGGTTACTTTTCTATCTTTTCCCTGAAAGCCGCAAATGTGTTGCGTCTACGCCGCTAACCAGTGCAGCGCCCGTCGCGGCATAGGCTCACCAGACTCCCCGCCACGCCACGCCCCGCCACGCTGGACACAAACCATACAAGGCTGGATCTAGAGCGGGCGCAGCTGCTTGCTGAGTCTGGTCTAGACCGGCGCGGCGTGTCTGTGTAAATACGGCCGATTTGTAAGTTTGCTTGACGCGCCTGTTTAGCCGACGACGAGCTATTGGCACGACAGCGGTTATTGACACGTAGCAGAGCATTGCAGATTGGAAGTGCACACGGTGAGAGGGTCGCGAGGGACGTTTGCAGGACGACGAAACACTGGGACGCTATTATTCCTTATCACAAAACAGTGCACTATTCCACACTGAACTTCACTTGCCGCACCGATGTCGGCTAGGGGTGTGCAACAGTGAGACACGCCAAGGCCTTTGGGCAGCGTCGAGACATGTCGTATCGATGTTAGTGGCTGGTGGTGCGCGAGCCAAAGTGCGCGCCTAACAAACGCGAACAAACGCTAGCCCCGTAGACCGCTGGAGGTGACAAATTGATTGACCGCGAGGTGGAGCCCAAATACCCAACGTCCGTTCAGAGTTTCACCACCCCTATCCGACAGACAAATGCTATGCCGCCGTAAAAATTAGGTTTGATAACATGTTGTTAATATAACATTGTTAAGTTAATATTTTATAAAACGAATATCCGTCCGCACGTCACGAGCGCCAGAGCGCGGCGGGGGAGAGTGGGACGGCGGGGGAGCCGCGACCAATGGTGGGCCGAGGCGGCCGCGAGGGGGGCGGGAGGCCGACCAACCGCGGGCCGCGGCGGCGGCTCCGTCTCTCTCACTCCCTCCCTGGAGCGGCTGGAGGGGCGGCCCGTCGCGCGCGCGCGCCAGTGCTCGCCCGCCGGCCGCCCGGGCAGCACCGCCGTGTCGCGCCGCGCAGCCGCGCCGCCGCGGGCCCCAGCAGGACGACGCCGGTGCAGTCGACGTGGACGTCGTCGAGGACGTCGTCAACGCCATCGCCACGGACGACGCCGCAAGCACTTTAGTAAGTACACACCCACCACCAAGGCACAAAGATTCATCAAAATTTTGCAAATGTTTCCCAAAAATAATCGTAAGGGCAATTTATTCTATTATATTTACAAATTGAGACCTGGTTTGGTCGAAAGTGTACGATGCGGTATAAGGGCAGGAGTTTGTAACGATGTCGCAACGTTTGACTGTGCAGATGGGCAAGATAAGCAAGTGGTAGGGCATAAGGGTGTAAGCTATTTTAGAAACTATGCTCGTTCAATTTTGCTAAACCAGTGGGTAGTGCTGCGCTAAACCACGCTCGGTCCTAATTTTGTATTGATGCTCCGTCTCCTGTGTTTACCTCTCTAACTCCCTCCTCCCTCCCCGTCTCCCTCCCTGCCCGCGGTTGGTCCCTGCCTCCCTCCCTCCCTCCCTCCCTCCGTTCCTCACGGACGCGGCGACGCGGCGTGTGCTGGGAGAGAGAGAGAGAGTGAGAGGAGGAGCGGAGGAAGAAGAGAGAGGCCACGCGTGGTGTGTGGGACACAATCCGCTGCGCAGCTACA